TTTTACAGTAAGCATAAGTTGTTTTCAAATTTTAAAAAGCTTAAACTTGGACAAAAAATAAAATAGCTATTGTTTCAGAATAACTTTATTCTACTGAACCTAGATGCCAGGGAAAGAGTTTTTCCTACCATGGTTTCCCTCTCCCTCCTCCATCCCTTTTCAAACATTTCTTGAACACCTACTAAGTGCTAGGCACTGTTGGGAGAAGCAGACCAAAAAAGCACCTACACCCATCGTACCAGCTGCAGGCACAAACTTTCTGCACACAGGCACGCTCACATTAGGAAATTATCTTTCGTAGAAATGTAGTGTAACCTCTCTGAGTTCACACATTTCAAGGCAAAAGAACACACTTTGGAAACAAAAATAACACCCTAACCGAATAAGCCAAGAAACTATTATCCAAAATGGGATAAAATATACGAATCAGAGGCCCCTGAAACTTCAGGGGCATAGATAACCTGCCTCTAATCCTACACAAAAGACACAATAAGAGAAAAAGCCTTAAGTTTCAGAACTGGTCAAATACCCATGGTGATGGAGGCATAGGTGGTCAGGTAACAACAGGCGCTGGGAGGAGCTGGGATCCAATTACTCTTCAAAGCACCCTACCCATGTCCTAAAATGCCATCTTATCCTACAATACACTGAAAACAAAACTAGCACAGAAATGACAAACCTCAGCCCAGCACGCGCAGAAAAGCCTTTTCTTTAGAAAGGAAGTTAAAAGCGGCCTCGGGCTAAAAGTAGAAAGAAAGAGGCACAACCTGGTACCAACCCCGGACAAAGAAATCAGGGAAGCTCAGGCCCCCAGGAGGCAGAGAACTTGAGATGACTCGGAGAAGATAAAGTGGCTTCCCAAAAAAGCGGGGTCAAGATGATGGCGGTATTTCCCATGACCTCAGAGAGGCAGGTGAGCTCAGCCAACATTCAAGCTGTAGAATAAGCGTTTTCATCCTTTATCCAGTCCTTCCCCCAAAATGCTGTCAGGAGAAATCTGACCCGTCCTGCAGCAGAGATGTGAGAAAAGCGGCGAGGAGACAGCTCCAAACACGTTCGCGAAGGGAGGGAGAGGTTTTTGGAAAGCGGCCCGCGGGGTGGGGAAGTGGGCGTGCAGGCGGGGGCAGCGCTGGAGGCGAAGGAATGAGGGCGACGAGGGGGCGACGAGGGGAGGAGGTGCAGGGGAAAGAGGGGTGGCGGGATGGAAGAGCAGAAAAGAGAGCGAGGGAAGAAACGAGGGGCGTTAGGGGAGGGAGGGAATGAGGAGGAGGAAGAGGACGGAGCCCGGCTGCGGGGTTTGGGGACGAGAAGGCAGAACGCCCGAGGACGTCCAGCAGGGCGGAGGGGCGGCGAGCTGGGAGAGAGGCGAGCGCAGGAAGAGGAACAAAGTTGGCACGGGCGAGAAGCCGGCGCGAGGGACGCAAGGGTGGAAAGGCGCAAAGTTAGAAAGGAGCTCCAGGGAAGCGGGATTTTCGAGTCCAGCGCCGCGAGACTGGCGGAGTTCGGGCGGCCGGGCAGCGACGCGCAAGCCAGGGGCGCTGCAAGGCGGTGGCCCGGGATCCCGTGAGTGAGGGCGGGCGCCGGGGCGAGGCAGAGGAGTCTCCCGGCGGCTGCGACGGTCCCCGGCCCGGCGCAGTCCCGCACTTACCCGGCTCGGGCGGCGAGGACGAGGCGGCGGCGCTGCCCCGGCCGTCCGGCCCCCGCCCGCGCCCCAGCTCGCGGCCGGCAACGCCCATTGGCTGCCGCGCCACGGGACCGCGTCGGCCTCGGCCAATCAGCGCCGAGCAGCGTCGTTTGGAAACTTTTTTCCCAGGCCGGGCGCGGCGCGGCCACGCGGCTGTGGTTCCGGGCTGGGGCTGGCCTGGGAGGTTCCGGCTGCTGGGCGGGGGCCGGCGGGCCGGCCGGCCTTGGAGGTCCTGCAGGGGCTTCCCTGGACATCCAGGAAACGGGCTTGGGTTTAGCGGGCCACGCACTTCAGGAAAATAAAAAATACAATAATTTCAGATGTTAAATGCTATGAATACAGCAAGTTCATGTGGTGGAAAGGAGCTGGGGCGGGGTCACCTCAGATAGAATGGCCAAAGAAAGCCACTCTTAAGGAGGTTACCATGAAGCTGAGCCCCTAGACGATGAGAACCACAGGAAATCACTTTTATTGTACCCATTTTAAAGATGAGAAAACAAAAGTTTAGGAAGTTAAATGCGTTGCTCCAGGTCTTAAAATTAGTAAATAACAAATCAGACTTAAAAGCTGGCTCCTACACCTGCATTCGTCAGCATTAAGCTACAGGTGAAGAGGTCTTAGCTACTCTGAAAGCCTTCCACGCCACTCATAGCCTCCCTGTTATGGTTAGAATAGTCTTTCTCTAATTTTACTTTGTTTCGACTCCTTGCTAATTTCCAAAAAAGCTGAGATACAAAACCCCACCACCTACGTCAACAGGGTTAAGGAAAGTACCAAAATGTCTTTCAGGAAACTTCCATTCTGGTCCCAAGCACTGATAAATCATTTGCATCCTGCTTTACTTGGCCAGATGCTTTCACCCTCAGAATTTTATTTGACCCTCACCACTTTGTCAGGAACAAAAGTTTAGGGAAATGGGTTTGTCATTGGGTAAAACCTTTGAAATGTAAAGAAATTTTGGTGAACTTTAAAATGTTTTCCTTTCTTTTTATTCAATTTGTTTTCCTTGTATCTTTGGGAAGAGCTCGATTTCTCTTCATTAGGTCCTTCCATCATAATTTGTTAATTCAAAACACTAAACCTGACATAGGCAGAAGAGAAATTTCTGGGGAGAAACTCTTGTAGTAGCAGGTTGCTTAGTTAAGCTGAATCAAATGTAAAGCAGCTACTTAAATAGCACAAAAATAAATCTTCACTCTGGTTTCATAAATATGAAGATTACAATTTGGACAAAGAAAAAACTGAAAGTTCCTTATACTCTCTGATAAAGGAGTATTCCCGGCAAGGACATAGGAATAAAATTAACAGAGGCTATAGTACTTAAGAAAATATATCTTCTTAAGAGAAAATTTAAGCACTCTTTCACAAATATCAAATTGTATTTTGATTCATAATTGTCTCCTTCTAAGGGTTGGTGTACTTTGCTCAGGCTAGTTTAGAATAGAAAGCAATAAAATTGCATTTTTTTTTTTTTATGAGACACAGTCTCACTCTGTTGCCCAGGCTAGAGTGCCATAGCGTCAGCCTAGCTCACAGCAACCTCAAACACCTGGGCTCAAATGATCCTCCTGCCTCAACCTCCCAAATAGCTGGGACTACAGGCATGTGCCACCACGCCCGGGCTAATTTTTCTCTATTTTTAGTAGAGATGGGGTCTCTCTCTTGCTCAGGCTGGTCTCAAACTCCTGAGTTCAAGAAATCCCACCTCGGCCTCCCAGAGTGCTAGGATTACAGGTGAGAGCCACCGTGCCCAGCCTAAAATTGCATTTCTTTTAAAAGTATTTGTAATTCAGACTTTTATTAGACTTCCACTTAGTATAACTGGTTCTTTTTTAATCATTGCATTTACCTGTTGAGACAAGCCACAGCTCTGCACTTGAAAGAATGCCAAGCAAAGTTAAACAAAATGTGTCTGCTCTTTTATGTTTTGTGGCTAAAAACTTCTTTAAAACAATTAAAATCCACACTTAGTTTCCTTTTTTTGTATTTTGAGTTAATATGGTTGGTGTTCAGAAATACTCAACTGGAATAAAAAGGAGGAGGGAAAAAGCCCACCTATAAAGAGTAGCATATTTGTTTGGTACTTTGAAAAAAAAATTAGAAACAGCGTTGTTTTTCATCTAATTCCCACTTGAAAAATGCTACCCACACAGACACAATGAAGATTTATTCAGCAATAATAAATACCTAAGCAGGCAGATAATGTATACTTGTCATCTGCCTTCTGGAAAATTAAATACCGGCACAAAGGATTCTTCAGCTACATGTTTGATCTTGCCCTCCACAACACATGTCTACAAGGACGTCTACAGGGATGTGTTAATCCCTGCTTCGTGCAGATTGCCTAATGAAATCAACTCATAGTGGAGGTTTTTTGGGGAAAATGTTCTCGTTTAGCAATTTCTACTGATTCTTTTGCAAAGTTAATTTGTTTCTTGGCAAACTTTAAAAAATATTTTAAGTAGTATTCAGATAGCACATCCTAAACTGTCTAGATTTAGATGACATGTGCTTTGTTTTTCTCCTAATTTGTAACAGAAAACAGCAGCTGGCAGTTTCAGAAATCATTTTGCTTTCTGAGTCGAAAAAAAATTCTTTTTTTTATTTCAGGGAAAAAATTGTGAGGCACTATTTTAAAAAAGCAAAACAAATGGCGTATCTCTAGCCACCTAAAACACAGGGTCATTGGTTTCATAAAAGCTTTTGCAACTGTAAGGTCTCCTTTTTGCTGGCCCAACCTCTCTCTGGAAAACTTGTATTCATTTGTAATGAGCTCTGGCCCAGGGCTTTAAAAAAATAACATTTTCTTACTAAAATCACCAAAGATCTCTTGATTGTTGGTGGCATATCCAGTTTAATCTTTCTTTGCACACACTTTATTTTTGCCAGCTGGGTCTCAACTTTGCGAGAAGCCCAAGGGACCTCGCAGGAAGCCCAGTTGGCAGTTACTTTTTTCTCCACTTGCCACTAGGTTGCACTAGATTAAGGATGCTGTGGAATATGTGCCATTTAATTTTTTTGAAAGTAGGACCATCACATGACGAGAAAAGAGCGAGGGAAAAAAAGCCGAAACGATTGGGTTTTTCATTGAAATTCGTTTAAATCGCCTTCCCTCAAAGAGCTGAACTGCATTAAATCCCGGTTGGCAGGTTTTTCCTCGGGTTCACCTCACAAGCTCCCTCATTGTCCGTTTTGAGGTTCCTTTCGACTCCACAACGTTAAGCCAGGAGGAAGGCCTCTTTAAACTGGGGGTTTTCGCCAAAAAAGCCAGGCTCACCCCCCGGGGAACTCCCTATTTAGGGGTTTATCGGGAGGGGACTGAGCCTGACGAGGCTGCAGGGCCGCGAGGCCCCGCCCCCCCCGGGTTCCCAGCCTGCCCCGCGCGGGGAGGACCCGGCGGCGGGGGCGGGGCGAGGAAGGGGCGGGGCAAGAGCCCAGAAGGGCGTCGGTTTTGCGACAGGGGCGGTGCGGTGCGGAAGCGGAAGTGGAGGGTGCGCTTGGCGGCGGCGGCGGGAGCTGCGGAGTCGGGAATCAAAACAAAGGGCCTGGGGGGCGGGGGGAAAGCGGCAGGGCCGGAATGTGAGCGGAGGTGGAGCGGACGGCTGAGGTGAGTTTGCTGTCAGCGCTGGGACTAGACCCGGAATGGCCCTGCTGCTCCGGGGCCACCGGAGCTGGACGGAGGGGACAGTGCCCCCCCTTCCTCCGCCTATTGCTGGGGTTGGAGGGAGAACAGATTGGTTACTCCAAGGGGAAGAATTGTGACCCGCCAGTCGGGCCCCCACAGAAGAGTTGGCTTGTGTCCTTTTCAGGTCCGTTCACTGCTGTCACTGTTGCGCCGCTGTTCCCCTTTGGGGGTATTTGGCTTCCTGCCCTCACCTGTCTGCTCTCCATGGGGCCCTCCAGGAGTGGGGAGCAACCTTTCCAGGGCAGTGTGCACAATCGTAAGGTTAAGAGAGAAAGAAAGGGGCGGGTGTTTTTGCACCTCCCCTCAGCCCCCGAGCGTTTTGCATTCTCCTTGGTCTTTAGCAGCACCTACGGTGTATCCTCAGGCTTGAGTGACAGTGTTGAGCTGCCTTAGGGCTTCAGCCACTTTGGTTGCTAATTGTAATGCGACCTCATGATGACACCTTTTAGAGTTTCCCGTATAGCTTTCTGGTATTATTGAGAGCTTACCAAGATACAGGTTACATTTGTATGTTTTAGACTTAACAGCATTTTGAGCGGTAAATAGTCTGCTTCTCATACAGGGAAATTGAAACCTAAACGGTCTTCCTAGACATTTGTTGAACACTTTATTCGTTCAAAAATTATTTACTGATATGTGCCAGGCACTGTGCTAAGTGCAGGAGATACAATAGTGAATAACAAAACAGTCCCTGCTGTCATGGAGTTTATTTTTATTTTTTTGAGACAGAGTCTCGCTCTGTTGCCCAGGCTCGAGTGCTGTGGAGTCAGCCTAGCTCACAGCAACCTCGAACTCTCAGGCTCAAGTGATCCTCCTGCCTCAGCCTCCCAAGTATCTTGGGACTACAGGCACGTGCCACCAAGCCCAGCTAATTTTTTTTTTTCTGTTTTTAGTAGAGTGGGTTTTAGTAGAGATGGGTTTCACTCTTGCTCAGGCTGGTCTGGAACTTCTGAGCTCAAGTGATCCTCCCGCCTCAGCCTCCCAGAGTGCTAGGATTACAGACGTGAGCTACCACGCCTGGTGTCATGGAGTTTATATGCTGGTAAGGCAGAAAGATAATAAAATAGTAAGCAAATAAAAAAGATCCTCTTAGATAGAGGAGCTGTGGGGGAGAAAGATAATGGGATGGGATGGTGTGAGGTCGAGGATCAGATTGGGTGCTATGGAAAGGCCATTTGCTAAATATTCTACATGGATTATCTCATATAATCTAAACAACAGCCCGGTGAGGGATTACTGTTATGTTACACCCATTTTAGAGATGCCATCTGAGATTCAGAGAGTTTGTGCGTTGTCCAAAGCTGCACAAATAGGAAGTAGTAGAATTGGGGACTAATACACAGTCTGATGTCAAAGTCTGTACTTTG